GTAAAATATCAGCTGCACAGCTTCCACAACAATCATTATTATTGTTGTTTGTTTTCATCTTTTCTATTGCATTTGTCATTTGAAATCAGCCTTTGCTTTTCTTAGAACTATTTTCGTTTAGGTGTAGATAATATATGACGACGTGGGCTTTGCTAACTTTCACGTATTCATCATTACATGGCTGCAATATCCATTCATTAAAAAAAACACTACATATTTAAATAAGACAATAAATTGTCGACCTCGTTAATTCGTATACAAATCACACGCAAAATCAATTCAAAAATAATTAGAATTAAAAAAATACTTTCTGCATTAAAATACTATTAGTTTCCTTGTAAATTAATTTAAAATATTTAAAAACTCATTGAAATACATTTTAAGAGATTTACTTGAATTTTGTCGAGACAGGTCTCGTCTTTACCATTCAGTCAAACTAGTTGGAAAAGAGATGAAAAGGTGTATTATGAAACTTTCGCCGGAAATATTGCAGGTAGAAGTCATGTAGCAGACAGTACTATAATACAGATAATAACAGGTGCCCATCTCCTGTAAATCGTTTTATGAAAATTGAAAATCTTAGTATTTTCCTTTATAATTAAAATACAGTTATGGTTCAGCAGTTAAACCAAACTGAAATCGTATTTTCCACACAGAGAAGACGGATTAGATTAGAACTTATTTTTAAGACATTCCTTAAAGTGTATTTATAACTATTGTTAAATTTAAGTTGTTCCTTGTCATATATAAAAAATCTTTTAATATTGCACTAAATACAAAAAAAATATTAACAAAAACTTATTATGTAAACAAATCTACTGACTAGTATTTTTTTCTAATCCCACAAATATCAATACAAAAATTCTAAGGAATGCAATTTTCTACGTACATCAAACGTATAAAAAAATATGTGGTAAACCACTATATTTTTTTAATCTAATCTCACAAAAATATGGTTGATTATTAAAAATTAAAGTTTATTACTAAATTTATATTTTAATTAATAAATATCTCATACTTTATGTATCACAGCATAGAAAAGTTCAACATAAAATGAATGGGTCTATATCGCAAGCCCGACAACCGAAAGACCGTCTATTGAAGTCCCGACATTTGAAATCCCGACTATATCGAAATCCGGACTATGTCAAAATCCCGACTATATCGAAATACCGACTACCATAAAAATGCTATTGTGGAAATTATAATAATAAAAGACACTGTCGAGATTTTGAGCCAGCCGGGATTTTGAACGTCGAGATTTCAATAGACGGTCTCTCGGTTGTCGGCTGAATGACTACACGAATGAAAGGATCTGCTAAAGCAGCGTTTCTCAACCTATGGGTCATGAAATGAAGTTGCCACTTTGAGTCACTGGTCAACAAAATTAACTCATAAACTATTATCAGTACAAATCCAAAAAAAGTATGCAAATAAGTATTATAATTAATATGAAGAACAATAAATACAAATTTAATTTCCAACTTTAGATGTAATATGTATTAAATAATTGAGTACTAAAGTGAAACGTAATATTATAGTAGGAATATGATAAATTTAGAGACAGACATTGGGAGGTAAATGAAAAATGATGAGTGCAAATTGGCATAGAAACTAGGATCAATAAATGACTAAAAAGAAATGCAGTAATTTTTCACAGAAACTTGAGATCTATAGAACATCTCGTATTTCCATCTGATGTAGAGAATACTACTAGAGAATAGTCTGCAATTAATTATTTACATTTGAATTAAAGCTACATGTGTTTGCTTTTAATTCAATGGCTTTCGGTATTCGCCCGAAGATGCGGAGCCCTCGAAAACTGGGTCACCTCCAAGCTCATTTCCAATTCTTTTATTTCTGGTCGAGATGGAGCCGGAAAGCACACACAGGCCCCAGACACACACGCAAAGCAGATGCAAACATAAAAGAAGAGTTACGTAACGTGTTTCGGTGTGCAAAGAAGGATCCATTTTTAACGACGATTCGGAATATAAATCGCCGCCTCAGATTGGAATCTATTGTGAAAGAGTTGTGTATTTTTTTTTATATTATTATTATTATTTCGAGGAGAGGTGCAATTCCTGCGGCTCCGGTCCTTTTAAAGACAAAATTGGTACAAATCTGTAACGAAGTCCGACGACATATTGAAAATACTGCTGCAACGTTTCTTTATTTTTTTTGTTAAAGGCCAACCACGGATTGCACACGATTAATGGAAATAAATAAAATAAAAAGCTCCGCGCAATTCCGTAATGACATTTTTATGAAGCTTTCGAATTGACAGAGTTCTTTTTTTATCTGTTGCGTTCAATTACTGAGGCAAGAAGAATTCGGTCACGAAAAATACATTCCGTTGTTTGTTTACAACAGGGTAGAGACGCGATGGACGATCTTGGTCAACGATTCCCATCTTTGGGTGACTTCTTGGATGACATTTATAGGATGATAAGTCTATTGGCCAACACCGATGAAATACAGATGCTAGTCGTAATCGTAATCCGATTTTGCTCGGTTTGCTGCAGGTGACATCATCGGCGCCAAGAGGTTCTATTGGATTCAGATTTGTGGAAATCTGGATGGGCGTTCAAGCATGAAGCTATCTTTAATTATGCATATGCTGAAGACACGTGCTCGCAATTTATTTCGCACAACACGCTCGTATGACAACCAGAAAATCAAAGACAACACACTCCACTAATGTTAACGACCCTAAAGACCTTATTTTTTGCCGACACACATAATTCAAAATAAGAAATATTTCGGTGACATATATTAATAACTTAACAAAGTCATTGCCTTCTCGGACGTATTTTTATAAGCTTGTACTTTAATCTAAAATGTATGTAATTGATGCATAAAAAGAAATATTCTCATGTGATTAAATTATTTAAGGTTCATTAGTTTAAAAGTAAGAAAATGTTATCATCATCTTTTTAAGAAAAATCTTCGTTACACCAGATTACACTAGAAAGGTTATCATTATCTGATCATTAGAAGAATAAATTTAATATGATTATTTATGATTTATTCAAATTAAACATATTGCAAACCAATTCATACTGTAAAAAGAAAATATTGTTCATTTTATGCAAAAAAAAAATCTCAAGATATTTTAATCTTCGTCATATTCAACCAAATTAAATATTTAACCAATTTGCAATATCCTTTCGACAATTTCCTTTAAATTTATATTATTTATTTAAAGTTGAGTTAAGTGGATTTTCTATGTAATGTAATTATCTCAGGTATTTCATGCAATTTATGTTAAAGTAGGATTATTAACTATTCTACTTTAAAATGATTATAAAAGGAAAATATATGGAAAATTTAAAAAAAATATTTTGTAATTTCAATGTTTTTTTTTTACAATAAAATGCTGATTTTATTTAGAAAGTAAGAATTATTAAACTTGGTTTGAGAAATTAAAAAGTAAATTTAAATCTAGAAATAAGTAATATAGATTTAACTACTAACTTTCCATTTCTTACGTAATAAATCGTGTATTACGTGAATCTAAAATTTTCATTCCGCTTTGTTTACAGTAAAGTGTTTTACATAAAATGGGATTAGCGGAAGGCGACTGGAAAGCCATTTATTACCAAATCAGGCGTTAATTTCTTTAACAGCCTTCCTTTTTCCAGTGCAAATTCCCCGTGTGTGGTAAATGAATACATTTAGTGTGTGTGTGTGCGTTTCCTATTCTCGCAACGAGCTTATGTAGCACCATTTCACCTAATTACCATACGGAATTAAGGCAAAACAGCTAAGAGCATATTAATATGGTGAAAAAGAGTGCCGTGTAACACTTTGCTCGAAACCGTAGTATAACCACCCAATGCGATGAGAGGATGACTGTAGGCAACAATAGTTGACTTCTTCCCACCTGAAACCGGCCGCAGCAATCCATTTAAGGTGTCCACAAAACTGGACTCGCACCATCCACGTCATGCTCCGAAATATAAAAATAATCAACAGCAAAAAAATAAATAAAACAAATTGAAGGATACCACATCGCAGAAATGAGTAAGTAGTATTATCAATTTGCATTTCGTTCCACATTCATTATATGTCCGATTGTTCTCGAAGTATTTATTTCAATTATCCGATTTCGTAATAAACTATGACCAAACCGGGAATTAATATTTTTTCATTAAATAAAGCATGGAATTGAATAGATTGAATAATTACAAACAGTTAGAAGATTTGATAATGAAATACAACTTATGTAAATATTATGCAACTGTTTTTTTTTAATTAAATGTGGTGACATTTGTGAATTTACACGTCACAAATTCAAAGAAACTTGGTGGTGAATCATTGGCAACAATTGAGATGGTATTCGAAAAGATTAGATTTGATCCAATTGCTTGTGAATCATCGACCACTGAATTAACTAGTAAGGGTTTAAGTACTCAGTGTTATTTTACTGTTTTTCCGCTGTAAAGCGAAGCGCGATGGTTTAATAACAGTATAAATCATATTTATAGACATTAATAAACATAACAAATAACTGTACATCCGTATACGGTTATATATTCAATGGAATTATCTTTCTAATAACAACGCCACACTAAATGGAATCACAATGCGATTCTCGTTAACAATCCTATTGGTATTACAATTTGAATGCCTGATCTTCCTTGAATTGCTCACGTCTAGAATGTTGATTGATCAATCAATAGTATCACCTTTTATTTAACTTCATTTTCGAGCAGTTTTGGTTCATGCCCTTTCATTGGTTTTTTGCCTACTCACTTTTTCTGGGAATGTGTTCATAGTATTACGTAAAAGCTTAATAAAATAATGAAGTTTGCATTCATCAAGAGTTCCAAGAAGAAAGGCACCCAAGATTGGTATAAAACGTGATATGTTTGTGGCGTGCTTACACATACTGAGTGAATCATTATCGAGTTATGTAAAGTACCGTAGGTGTTAAGATTTATTTATGAACATCACAATCGAAAAATAAAGAAAACAGTTGCATTGTGGGGACTGTTGCATCGTGATTCTGTTGACTCTCTTCGGCGGATGTATTGTGTAAGCAATTCTCTCTAAATATAGAACACACATTGAAATCATCTCATCGGTGCCGGCGCCATTGAAATCACATTTTCAATTTAAACTTCCCAATTGGGATCGAAATAAGTATACCCAAAAAAAGAAGTGTACACAATAATTCAATTATCGTCTAGGCACGAATAGCAAAGGCAAACCTAGACGGAAAAAAATGGGGAATTAACGATCCAACTTTTACTTTCTTTCGAGCATATCACGATGTATATAGAATCAGAATCACGATGCGCCGAGAGATTCACCTCACATTCCATACTTTTTGATGTTAAGACTTATTTTTGAATATCTTTTGAAATTATTAATATTAATGTTTTGAATTGAAACATTTTTAATTAATTATTGACCAATTGTTTACCAACTGTAAATAATTTCCAGATTGGGATTAATTTCGAAGATTATAAATTTAGAGATTAAGCAGTATCATGAATAAATATAAGAAAATATTCTACGAAAAAAGTAAAACAAATTTAATCTGTCTCGGAATAGTCTTATCGGAATTGAACCAATATATACGATATTCAATATTTATTTAATTGCATTACAGTGTTTGCATCAAAGTCTATGATGGTATTAAATTATACCTTAAAAAATGAACTTAATTATTTAGACTTACATTCAGATAATTCATGTTTGACTACAATTGTTTCGGGTTTGGATCTTCGGAAGAAAGGCTGCTTGCTAAGCACCAATTTTGTCAATTTCGAGTACATCTTCCGAACAAGTGTACCAAAGTACTGAATTTTTTGCAATACCGAAAGTAAAAACGTTAATTATCAATTAATACCAGTGAATTGGATAATTACAGCTAAATAGGTTAAATTATTGAACTGAAATATAATTGTCAATTAGTGCATGAAATAACAACGAAAAAATCAATTGAAATCGAAAAATTGGTGTCAACTACACGAAATTGAAATTTATTTTATGGTACAGTATGCAATTTCTTCACTATTTAAAGTAAAAAAGTAGAGCTAAAAAAGCTCTAAATTTACCGCTTGCAACCAAATGTATAATATAAATCCAATATTTGGGATTGCTTGAGAACAATATTTTTTTATATTAAATAAATCTTTACTAATTTAATTCTATCTCTATAATAATGTCTTTCAACAAAATTGATACTATTTTAAAAGCGTTATAGAGTTCTTTGCAAATCCCTTGAAAGGTTATATCCTTCTCTTACTGCACTGCATAAACACACGCATTGTATGGATGCCATGGGAGAATCTCCATTTATCATTTGTGGGAATCTCAGTTACATTGTTTCGTGATAATTTTTAATTTTAAAGAGCGCATTTCTCTGTGCCCAACACGTTTTTTTTTTCTTCTGTTCATGGGTAAACCCCTTGCACTACGGTAAACACACTTTTACCATGAGAAATCGACTAATTTGTAGTAGCTTAATGTTACAATCTAATAGGCCGATTCAATTACATCGAAATACAGTTGTTCATTATATAACTCGTTTCGTGCACGTTAAGAAACGCTTGATGCATATTTCAGAAACTGTTTAAAATACAATATACGAAGAACAATCATGTTCGATATTAGCTTGTCAGCTGATTTTTTTGGACATATCTGAACCATAAGATAAGACAAACTTTTTTTTTTCATAATACTCAATCAACTCAATATTTCCAATTCTCTAGTGAGTTTTATGATAGTTGGTATAATAATTATGTAATATAATCATTTATTTAAAAAAATACGATATATCATTGTACGATTACAATAAAAGTAACACATATATTAGGGATATATTTATGAGTAAGTTAAGCATTACAAATTGTAATTGGAACTTACGAGCCATGACAAATGAAACTGAACCTCATTCATTCCCACTGAATTCGCTCCATTGTGCTCATAATTCAGCCATATATCACTTAATAACAGGTGATTGCAACACTAACATTTTTAGATGTACTAAGATTTTCGAAAACCAGTTGATTGTTACGACTTCTCCGCCCGCACAATCATATTTATAACTATTACGCACTTACTTCGGATTCTCATTCGACAAGTGAAAATACATAATTTTTGAAGTATTTAGCTCGATGTTCAAGTGCAACACCAACTGAATTTTAATTGGATTGTTTTCCAATGAAACCAACTCGAGATTCGGTCTAATTATTACCGGATTAGGTTATTGTGTTAATAACTACATATTAATTATATGGAAGAGGTGCTGCATTTAATCGGATAATGCGATGCCCACCAGACATGCCCAGAATTTGAAGATTATTAGAAAGTTCTTTTTTGTTTCACTTGTATAAGAACCATAATTCGGCCTAGCCTTGATGAAATTACCCAACTTGCCATTGTCTAATAATAGCTTAACCGCTATCTCGAAAAAATATTTATTCCATTTGTATCAGATAATCTCTGGGGATTTGATCAATGAAATTCGATGAAGAAGTTCAAAGATTATAAACAAAAATAATACGAATCCACAACAAATTTTTATTGTATGAATATTATAAAATTATCCACTAGATAACAATAAAATCCTAATAAATAAAAACTAAAAAAATACGTTATTGATCATTTTACATATTTTTGTTGCAAATTTTCTTCTAAAAATATCATAGTAAGTAGTAACATATAGTGGACATTGTGTAGACACCTTTATTTGAATGAAAACTTCGTCATGTATATCTTATCAAGTGTTTCAATGTAGGTCAAACATTGTTATCGATGCTTATTAAACTGAAGAGTATACATTCCTTTACGCATACGGAATTCCATTAAGTTCAAACAAGTTTTGCAAAATATTAGTATTATATTTTTCAGACTATCAGACCAATTAGGTAGATAATTCCTATTAGAACTCTGTGTTATATAATAATAGGAAATAAACATTGTGTTTTTGTAGTCCAGTTTCCATGTTATCATTTGATAAATATGTAAATTTCGAAAGTAGTTTATTTCATATTTCGGGTTAATATTTGACGTAAAGTTGTTAGTATAAACTCTTTTAACTTTAGCTATCAAATGAAAACATGGAATTTAAGATAGTTAACAATAGAGAAATATGCATTTACTACTTACAAATAGTAAGAGATTGCAAGTAACTGAGATGAACAAACATCGGGTAGCAATAAACTTGCCATTGCAAAGCACTAAATGCATTTATAAATATGGCAGGTATTTTGTACGGCTATTTCAACAGGAATAGTAAGATGGCCGTAGCGCAAGAGTGGGAAAGGAAGAAGAGACGAATGCAAAAAAAAAAGAGGAAAAGCCTTTTGTCCAGGCCGCTAACGGCATAAACTCTCATCGCCGATTTCCACAACCATTACATAATAATACTAACGCAGAAGAGGCGGAGGCAGAGATGTGCCTTTGCGGAATAAATTTCGTGACCGATCATCTTCATGGGTTTTCCGTGGACAGGTTTTTCTTCGGGGCCGAAGGAAAAACGAACCTTTTGGTCCACGAACCATTATTTTTAATCGTTCTCTTCCCTTCGGCCAGTATTTTGCGCATTATCCTCGCAGCTCGGATAATTTATTCCCGAGCTCATTACGAGCCACGAAAAATAAAATTAAATAGAAACACGTCTAAGTGGAACGCAAACGTTGACTCTGAGTTGACTCATTTCTAAACTCAAAAGAACCACCTAGAATAGGTGCGGTGCACGGAATTTCGTATACGAAATGTCTTCACCGCCGTTCGACATTAATTAATGCCATGTGCAAGAAATAAACAAGAAAATACACGAGATTAATTAATTTTATTGATTTTTCTGGTGAGATCATAAATTATATTTCGCGTTATATGCACCTCGTTCTCTCGTGTGTCTCACCAGTGCGAAGTGTCCTCGAAGTTACAACATTTTTTTTTATTAGTGTTTATGTATTTTTTACCTTGCTCGATGCAAAAAAAAACGCGCTAAATGAATCTAAAACTGAACGATTACGTAATCGCTTATGTAAAAGATGGAATTGTGAAGAACAAAAAAATATATAGTAGCAGATTTCCTGTGGCGGCTTTGTTGTCTGCCGACTTGGTAAAAGTGAAATCGTAAAACTTAATTTATACTCATGCGACAGCACTAATAGGAATTGTAAATCTTGTATTTTCATATTCATATGCATTTGCGCTGATAAATTAATATTTCTGTTTTTAACTTCCAAGAGTATTAATGTCATGTATTTTGTTATGTAATTCTGCTTTTGCTACAATCTATATTATTACATAGTTTATCTCAATCCAAGTTTCTAGCACTATATTTCTTCTCATCTTGCGATAGTAAAGGTTACATATAATGTGTATTTAAAGGTTTTGAAGCAATTGTTGTGTTATAATTAGTTTTAAGGAAGTTTTCAAGTCAATCTCAAAATTATTAAGTTCAACCAGATAATGATTATACTTATTCCTTTTCTGTGAATGTTAATATTGAAAATAATAAAAATAATTAAGTATTCAAGAAACAGTTACATTTCGAAATATTCATATTTTATATCTTATTGCTGTAATTTTACTATAAAAATTGTAAAATGAAAAACACAAATGTAACAAGTTATAAAAAAAAATGGTTAAACAACATAAGCATAATTATTTTTTTAATGCAGCATAGAGATAAGAAGATATCGTTAAATTTCAAAAGATTGCATAAAATAAACTGATATGTTGTACTTTCGTTCATTCGAAATAAATCTCTAGACATATTGTATAATCTGCCATTTTTTGGATTATATATTTATAAAAATTTAAAAATCGCACATATATTTCTATTTATAAATTTATCAGCTAAAACCGTTAAAATTTCGGCAACTGAAATAACATTTCATGACCTTTGATAATAACGATTCAAATAAAATAATTTGATTATGTTATTTTTTTATATAACTTTTATATAAATGAAATTGTGATTGAAAATGTAAACATTCTTAAACTTATAAATAAAGTCTTTATTCCCATTCGGTCAATATTAGGATATAAAATAAAGAAAACGTAATAAT